GAGGGAGCAGAAGGATGCGGCCCTAGTCAGCGACTTGTCATCCACATGTCATCCAGAAGTCATGTGCCTTGCCACAGTACAAACTCACCCTAGGTAATCTCACGGTCAAGCACTCTTACCGTGCAAACTAACCCTGATGTCCCAAAGGCCAAAAAAAATTAGGGAGCTCAAATGCAACAGAGGGTAGAGCTCAGACCTGAGAGAGACTTGGAAATCTTGGGGCTCCATGAGGAAGACAGTATATCCCTTTCAAAAAAAGAGGATTGGTGGCACCTTTTCCTGTGTTCCTCCAGGGGTCTCAGGGTCACCAGCAGTCTTCTCAGGTCCTTTCATGGTCACCAATGGATCAAAAAGATAAAATTACTATAGACTTTAGTTTAAAGATTTCAGTTGGTTTTACATGAAATTCTAGAGTCAGGCAACATTTAATCCCATTAATTGGAGTAAGTGTTCCTGTAATTAACTCTTATCTTGGGGTTTCTTAGACCACACAGTGAATATAAAATAGGCCCAAACCCACCCCAAAAACAGGCTGGAGGATTGGATTTACAAGGGGAAACATTTTCTCCCACTCAGAACCATCCCTGCACTGATGGGTGGACTTGGAGAATCTATCCTTTCACTTACGGTGAGAAAGCAACGTTCCGGCTTTATGTAGTGGTATTAAGTCCAGATCTCCATCCTTTGCAGGCTCTGGCCTATTTTCCTGTCCCTCCCCTATATAGGTATTAAAATCTATGCCCGTAGATTACTGGGCTCATAATGACTCCCTGCATGATATTTTTCTTGCCCCTCACAGACATTACTTTAGTTCACTTCCTCACCACTCTAGTTGCAATCTTCATTTTGTTCTAGCACAAAAATGCTTCTTTTTTTTCTCTCTCATAGGCTAGCTATGCATTAAAAGTAGGTTGTGGCCTGGCGCGGTGCCTCACACCTGTAATCCCAGCACTGTGGGAGGCCGAGGCAGGCGGATCACAAGGGCAGGATTTCGAGACCAGCCTGACCAGCATGGTGAAACCCCATCTCTACTAAAAACACAAAAATTAGCAGGGCGTGGTGGTGCACGCCTGTAATCCCAGCTACTCGGGAAGAGGAGGCAGGAGAATCACTTGAACCCGGAAGCACAGGTTGCAGTGAGCCGAGATGGTGCCACTGCACTCCAGCCTGGATGACAGAGTGAGTCTCCATCTCAAAAAAAAATAAAAAATAAAAAATAGTTTGTATTATAGTTCATCCAGCATTCATAAATTTGTTGTTAGGTATTTGGGTAAGAATTGGATGTCTGAGAGCTCCCAATATCTGTACGTTGATTTTGTACCTGCCCGAATTGCTGAACTATTAGTTCAAATCAGTTTACTGGTTATCTTGGATTTTCTAAGTAGACAATCATATTATCTACATTATTTCTTCATTCCATTTCAAATCCTTTGGTTAAGATCTTTAGTGCAGTGTTGTCAACAGACATATTATAGCACACCCAGCCTGGAAAGCTTCTTCTTTGTTTTCTTTTGTTTGTTTGTTTTGAGACAGTTTCGCTTTCACTCTTGTTGCCCAGGCTGGAGTGCAATGGTGCAATCTCCGCTCACTGCAACCTCCACCTCCCAGGTTCAAGCGATTCTCCTAGCTCAGCCTCTGCAGTAGCTGGGATTACAGGTATGTGCCACCATGTCCGGTTAATTTTTTTGTAGTTTTAGTAGAGACGGGGTTTCTCCATGTTGGTCAGGCTGGTCTCAAACTCCTGACCTCAGGTGATCCCGCCCGCCTCGGCCTCCCAAAGTGCTGGGATTACAGGTGTGAGCCACCGTGCCCGGCCACTGGAGACCTTCTGATGTTTCCACCATGAAGTATGACATTTGCCATAGGTTTCTGGAAAATGCTGTTTATTAATAAAACTTCTGACCTTGTATTATTTAACATCAGCCAAAAAAAACCTCTTAATGTTAAATGATTCCACTAATGCTAACATAAGCCAGAATTTTTACTTTATAACATAAGGAATATATGAATATAAGCAGCGACACTATGGAGATTTCCAAAAAGATATCAGGGCACTGGGTACATTATGAGGGCCTCAGACCACTGAGGAATCTACTTCCAAAAACGAAGCAAGCAGTATCAGGGAAGCCCTTTGTTCACCTCCCCAGGCCACTGGACAAACTTGCCTTTGTCCCTTGGGAGTGTCCAGTCTTGTCCCACTCAGTTTCATATTTCTGTGTGGCCATTACCGGTACAAGAGTTTACAAAAAGCCTCTTGATCCAACTTGAGAGAAATTTCACTTGTTCCTCCAGTGAGAAGCATCACAGCCAGGTCTCTACAATTCCCCCAGTGAGGAGAAAATGGCCCTAGGTGTTCCTTATCAGGCTATGTGCTCTCAATTGCAAAAGCCTTTCAGGTTTTCAAATTATTTGAAGGCTGGGACGATAACAAGGATGAGTTATCACTATGCAGTGTGACGGTCCCTTGTAGGCACCTGCACATATGGATGTCTTAGACTTGACACAGACATTAGGTACACAGGATTTATTGGGGGGAGGGGCGGTCTTAGGAGAACAGAGCTGGGGACAGTGGTGGTGCAGGACAGGGCAGAGGAAGGAGCCATGCAATGGCAGGTTTGCAGCTGGAGCTAGCTTCAGTCTCACCCCCCAGGAGCTGGAGCTAGCTTCAGCCTTACCCCCTAGGAGCTCTGGAGCATGAATCTTAGCAGAGTTGGTCCCACCTGCAGGCCAGGGGGCTGCCCTTGTCAGTGAGTTACGGTGGTGGGATGCCTGGAGGTGAGGCTGCATAACCTTCCTGGTAAGGTGGTTTCACTTCCGCCAAGGATGATCTTCTAGAAGTGGGAGTGGGCACTGAACCATTAGCAATCCACACCCATAGCAGTTAGCTGTGCCTAGTCCTGCAGATCTGGATGGGACAGTAAAGTTCACTGCACCTAAGGAAACCTGTGTCTGGCTGAGGGAAAGGCTCTGTGGGCACTGCTGTGTGACCAGAAAGCAGACACTAGGTTCTCAGGACAAAGGACTATAACAGTAGTATCAATAGTCAATGTCACTTCAGAGTTTAGGGCCTGGGCCAACCCATTGGAGAAAGCTGAGACATGCAAAGGGAAACTGGTTTCAAGAAGACACTTTTTTTAAAAAAAATGAGGCCGGGCACGGTGGTGTTGGTGGCTCACACCTATAATCCCTGCACTTTGGGAGGCCAAGGTAGGTGGATCACCTGAGGTCAGGAGTTCGAGACCAGGCTGGCCAATGTAGTGAAATCCCATTTCTACTAAAAATACAAAATTAGGCAGGGCACGGTGGCTCACACCTGTAATCCCAGCACTTTGGGAGGCCGAGGCGGGTGGATCACGAGGTCAGGAGGTCAAGACCAGCCCAGCCAAGATGGTGAAACCCTGTCTCTACTAAAAATACAAAAAAAGTTAGCCAGGCATGGGGGCCGGTGCCTGTAATCCCAGCTACTCAGGAGGCTGAGGCAGATAATTGCTTGAACTCAGGAGGCCGAGGTTGCAGTGAGCCAAGATCGTGCCACTGTACTCCAGCCTGGGCTACAGAGTAAGACTCCGTATTAAAAAAAAAAAAAAAAGAATTAGCCAGGCATGGTGGCACACGCCTGTGATCCCAGCTACTCAGGAGGCTGAGGCAGGAGAATGGCTTGAATCTAGGAGGTGGAGGTTGCAGTGAGCTGAGATCGAGCCATTCCACTCCAGCCTGGGCAACAAGAGCAAAACTCCGCCTAAAAGAAAAAAAAAATTAGCAATGTGGAGGAGGTAATCACTTCTCAGTGAATCTCTCTTTAAACATTTATGTATTCATGAAAAGGTACAGGAGGCTGAAAGTTAACTCATTGTCAAAACATAGTATCTTTTTCCTCCACTTAACATTGCCGTGGTCTGACTCCATGTCCTCAACATCTTCATGCAATCCAGGGGCTCCTGCATGAGAAATATTCTATTAACTTTCCATCATTGGCTGGGCCTGGTGCCAGCTTCCTATTTGACAGTGGAATCTGTTAGAGCAGATACGTGACCTACTTTGATGTGGCTACGGACAGAGGCTTCAACCTCCTTGAACATTCAAATCCCTTTTTTGTCCCTGGAGGGAGAAAGTTAGCACAGCTACTCCAGTTGACTTTAATGAGTGGCTCCTACCCACCGTATTTCTCCGAAAAGTTTTGAGCCTTGTATGACCCCTTATTCATCAGGAAAAAGAAATGACAACAGAAGAGCATGTTTTGAAGATTTACTGCTTTTCTCCCTTTGCCCCTTCCTTCAGAAGGGAGATGTGCATTACTTTTAATCCCTAGTAAGCATGGAACATAACCTACCATATCCATCTCTTCTAGTTTGAATCCTTGATTTTATTGTGACTCTGTTCAGGACGAAGAAGTAAATTCGAGATACTTAGAGGCAAAGACGGGAGGAGAAGGTGTAAAGAGGTTTTTGTTTGTTTGTTTGTTTGTTTTGGAGATGGAGTTTTGCTTTGTTGCCCAGGCTGGAGTGCAGTGGCGTCATCTCGGCTCACTGCTACCTCTGCACCCTCTGGGTTCAAGCGATTCTCCTGCCTAAGCCTCCCAAAATGTTAGGATTACAGGCTTGAGCCACCGCGCGCCGGCCCTTATCCGCCAGGTTTGTTCAGGGATGTGAGGCAGGAGAATGTGGTCTGGAGGCAGGGAACCTAAGGCCGATTCATGATGACTTCCTAGAACTAAATCAAAACGAAAACCCCAACTTTCCACACCCAAGTAACAAAAGGACCAGAGGCTACTCCCTTTGCCACCCCCACTGTCTTCTTCCATGTGGCTGAAGAAAAATGGAAAGTACCTCTGATTGGTCCCCTCCCGTAACCAGTCAGGCTGGTGGTGGGCCAAATCTTCATTTGCATAAGGCATAATTTTGTAACTTCACTTCAGCCTCTGATTGGTCCCTTCCTGCAACCAATCAGACTGATAGTGGGCCATTACTTCATTTACATAGGGTGTATAGCACGTAACCAATGGGAAACTTCTAGAGGGTATTTAAACCCCAGAACACTCTATAACAAGGCTTTTTAGCCGTTTGCTTAGGCTTGTTTCATAGCCTGTGAAGTGTGCTTTCGTTTTCAATAAATCTCTGCTTTCGTTGTTTAATTCGTTCCTTGCTTTGTTTATGCGTTTTGACCAATTCTTTGTTCAAAACACCAAGAACCTGGACACCCTCCACCAGTAATAGAAGTTAAAGGGAACCGTTAACTTTGAAAAGTCAAATGCCATTTCCAAGGTCAGAGAAAAAGATGAGAATTGTTGGCTTTTTCAGAACTCTAATCTAGTGCTCCGTACAACCAGGCCTTTTTTTTTTAAAACTCCCTTTTGCCTAATTCAGCCTATATTGTGGTGTCATCAGAGAACATTATAAAAGAGTAGGTAATGGTGGAATTTGTTTTGTTTTGTTTTTGCAGGGGCTCAAAATTGATTTTCCATGTTGTCATTTACTGGAGCTTTACTGAAGAGGATCTGGTCAGTGTGATAAGTAAGTTAATTAAGCAGTCAGCTTTTCCCCCCGCTTCTCATCGCTTTGTACATGGATTTGGACAAACCCTTTCAGTTTCTCAGCAATTCTTTTTGCTAACGAATAGCTCCTTACTGGTTTCTGCTTTCTGAATAAATATGTATGCAGGCTGGTTTGTCCAAATGCACTTCAGGTCTATTTAAGGTGCTGCCTGGTCACAGATGGGGAGGAGTGTCAGAGAGAGATAAATCAAAGAGCTGTCACCTTCCACGGTAGCACATTGCAAGGGACATTAACTCACCTCCAAGCAAGACAGAGGTGGCCTGCCTATCTCTGGATAAAATCTCCCACTGCTGGAGGTTGGGGTGGGAGTTGGGACGAGGAGCGGTAATTGTCTGCATCAACCTTGGCTCTGGGGAGCTGACAGCCAGGGGACCTCTCCTCTCTGGAGTTTTCTCCCTGCACCATCCCTCACATTTCCTTGTACTACATTGGTTCCTTCTGGTCCTCCAGGTCTCAGCTTCGGTGCCACCTCTTCCGAGAAGCCCTCCGTGACCACCTCCACTGTTCCCACCACTCACCCTGTTGATTTCCTCCACGGAACAAAGGTATCTCAGTTTGCCACGATGCACACTCTTGTTTCTTCCAGATGGCCAGCTCTAGGACGGCAGGGGCTCACCCATCGTATTCATCCGTGCTGACCGTCCACGCTCACGTTTCAGGAATTTGAGTGGCCCCGTGGGAACAGCATCTCTGCTCCCTAATGTCTGGGGCCTCCTGTGGAGAGGCCTGCACGGCTCCACTGGGGCCATTAGTGTGTGGCCTGGTCTTCTCCATGAGGTGTATACAGTGCTGGAGTGTCCGGGAGCTCCTTTGCTCACGAGTCTGGCTTCTTGGTGCTCCAGGTTTCTTCCTGTCTCTTTCCATGTGGCTTGTACCCACCAGAGTCTGCCCCACCCCCTGGGCTTCTCACAGCCTGGTGGTCTCAGGATAGCTGGGCTTCTTATATGATGCCAGATTTGAAGAGGCAAGAAGCAGAGCCTGCCAGGCCAGGTAGTCTCCTTCCGCAAAGCTGACCCAGCCTCACTTCTCAGTATACTATTAAAGCCGTCCCAGGGCCACCCCACACCCACAGCCGACCTGCCTCTCCCTGGGGGCATGGCAGAGCCATGTTGCAGAAGGGCATGTGGGGGTGGGAACTATTACTGCAGCCATTTTTGGAAACTTCAATCTGCAACACAGAAAGTGGAAGGAAGGGGCTGGGTGTGGTGGCTTACGCCTGTAATCCCAGCACTTTGGGAGGCCAAGGTGGGCAGGTCATGAAGTCAGGAGTTTAAGACCAGCCTGGCCAGCATGGTGAAACCCCGTCTCTACTAAAAATATAAAAAATTAGCCAGGCATGGTGGTGTGCACCTGTAATCCCAGCTACTCGGGAGGCAGAGGGAGGAGAATCACTTGAACCCAGGAGGCAGAGGTTGCAGTGAGCTGAGATTGCGCCACTGTACTCCAGCCTCGGCAATAGAGCAAGACTCTGTCTCAAAAAAAAAAAAAGAGAAGGGCTGGGCATGGTGGCTCACGTGTGCAATCCCTGCACACTGGGAGGCCAAGGTGCGTGGATCACCTGAGGGCAGGGGTTTGAGACCAGCCTGGCCAATGTGGTGAAACCCCTTCTCTACTAAAAAAAAAAAAAAAAAAAAAAATTAGCCGGGTGTGGTGGCACATGCCTGTAATCCCAGCTACTTGGGAGGCTGAGGCAGCAGAATTGCTTAAACCTGGGAGGCGGAGGTTGTAGTGAGCTGAGATCATGCCACCGCACTCCAGCCTGGGTGACAGAGCAAGACACTGCCTCAAAAAAAAAAAGAAAAGTGAAGGGAAGAAATGCAAGGTACTTAGAGGAGGTAGCCTCAGTAAAGCAACAGTGTAGTAACAGGAGGTAGAGAGGTGAACACCCATGTGGGACAACGATGAATGGAGATAGGAATAATGCTTCATAAAATAAATACTATTTTTGAAGTTTGGAGGAGGTATTATCGAAACATCAGGAGTTCAGCCTAGGTTCTACTGCTCACTGCACAGAAAGTCAATCACTGAGTCAATTTTTGCCAAGGAAAAAGGCTTCAATTAGGTGCTGAAGCTGAGGAAATGGGAACTGGGTCTCAAATCCATCTCTGACTAAAACAAAGGGTTTATATAGCAAGGAAGAAATGTAGCGATGTGTAAGAAAACAGGAACTAGGGAGGGGCAAGGAAGCAATCATGATGAATGAGGGGTCCAGCGTCTCATTGTCTAGATTTAGTGATCTGGTGAGTTTCAGTTCTTTTATACTTTTTTTTTTTTTTTTTTGAGAAGACTGGAGGAAAGAACTCAGATAAACCAAATGTGAGTTTCAAGCTATAAGATCAGAAGGGTCAATTTCTATATTTATCCAAAAAAGAAAAAAACCGATGGGACTATTGGTTTGGTTTCAGAGAAAGAGCTTACTTGTACCTAGGGGTAGAGAAGGCCACTGCATTTGGTTGTACAGGTTGTGCACTGCACAACTCTTGGGGGTGGCATTTCCAGCTGCATGCAGCAAGCCCTGCAGAGGAGAATCCAGGAAACTTCATAGAAGAGGCGGCACTTGAGAGTAGGATTTCAGTGGGTGGAAGAGGTTGGCAGATGGCATTCCAGGAAGAAGGAAGAGTGCAGGGAGCCCTACGGAAGTTATGGTTGTGTGAGCTCTCAGGTTTGGCAGGAACGTAGCATGGGAAAGGACAGTAAGTTGTGATAAAACTCAAAAAGGGGCTTCAGGGAAGATCACAGGAGGCCTTGAATGCCAGGTTCAAACTGCAGTTTATTCTCTCGGCCTGGGGTCAGCCAATGACAGCCCGTGGGCCAAATCTAACCTGTAGCCTGTGGGAATAAGACCTGTGAACTAAAGCCAGACACAGAAAGACAAATACTATATGATCTCATTTATATGTAGAATCTAAAATACTCAAACTCATAGAAGCAGAGAGTAAAATGGTGGTTGCCATGGACTAGGGAGGAGGGGAGATGAGGAGGTGATGGTCAAAGGGGATGAAGTTTCAATTATGCAAAGACGAGTCAGTTCTGGAGATTTACTATACTGCGTAGTGCCTGTAGCTAACAACACCACTGTACTGTGTCTTTAAAATGTGCTAAAGAAGTCCAGGCGAGGTGACTCACAACTGTAATCCCAGCACTTTGGGAGGCTAAGGCAGGCAGACTGTTTGAGTTCAAGAGTTCGAGGCCAGCCTGAGACATGGCGAGACTCGTCCCCACCAAACATGCAAAAATTAGCTGAGCTGGGTGTGGTGGCTCATGCCTGCAATCCCAGCACTTTGGGAGGCCGAGGAGGTAGGATGACTTGAGGCCAGGAGTTTGAGACCAGCCTGGCCAACATGGTGAAACCCCGTCTCTACTAAAAACACAAAAATTAGCTGGCCGTGGTGGTGCACACTTGTAGTTCCAGCTACTCAGGAGGCTGAGGCCCGAGAATCACTTGAACCCAGGATGTGGAGGTTGTAGTGAGCAGTGACCGCACCACTGTACTCCAGCCCGGGTGACAGAACAAGACTCTGTCTCAAAAAAAATAAAATAAAAATAACTGGCCAGGCATGCTAGTGCACGCCTGTGGTCCCAGGAGGCTAAGGTGGGAGGTTGGCTTCAGCCTGGAAGGCAGAGATTGCAGTGAGCCTAGATAGCCCCCCGGCACTCCAGCCTGGGCTACAGAGCCAGACCCTGTGTCAAAAAGTAAATAAATAAATTGCTAAGAGGGTAAGTCCTGTGTTAAGTGTTAACATACACACACACACACACGTACAACCTGTACAACCTGTACATCACATAATATATGTTACTTATATATTTATCAATAGTAAAGGGACTGGGAGGAAACTTAGAGAGGTGACAGAAATATCACTGACCTTGATGGTGGTGATGGTTTCATGGGTTCACACTTACTCCCAAACTCACAAAGTTGTGTGTACAGCTTTTTACATGTCCATCATACAACGATAAAGCGATTTTAAAAAGCATAAATAGTTGTAAAAACAAAATGAGAAATTATCAACAGAGATAGTAGATGGTTGACAAAGCCTAAAATATTGACTATCTGACCCTTCACAGGAAGAGTCTCGGAAGGTTCCACTGCTGTGTTTGACAGAGTGATTTGATGACGGATTCATCAGACACAGGAGAATAGAGGAGGCTGGGAGACCAGGTAAGATGCTGCTCTACTTCTCCCGGTTCCAGCAAGGGAGAGCTTGAGCTAGGGAGGGTGATGATGGCCAGACTGCCAGACAAATGAGCACCCCCACCCAGGACCAGATGCCTGTTGTCTCATTGTGGCTGATGGGATTGCTTTCTTCAACATCACCATCACGCCTTACAGGGAGATGAGGGACGTGCCAGGAGGCTCCCCATTCTATTGGGTCCCCCATCTCCAATTTGCATCAAAGGTTCTTCATCAAGTTCTATTCAAGATTTTTTTAGTGATGTTCTGCTAAAACTATTTCAGTTGGAAATCATTGGCAGAAAGCCATAGTCCCCCTTTCATTTCCAGGAGCTGGAGGAGCTATTTTTGTTGTTGTTGTTGTTGTTGTTGTTGTTGTTGTTGTTGTTGTTGTTATTTTTTGAGACGGAGTCTCACTCTGTGGCCCAGGCTGAAGTACAGTGGTGAAATCTCGGCTCACTGCAACCTCTGCCTTCTGGGTTCAAGTTATTCTCCTGCCTCAGTCTCCTGAGTAGCTGGGATTCCAGGCGTGGCACGCCTGGCTAATTTTTGTGTTTTTATTAGAGTTGGGGTTTCACCATGTTGGCCAGGCTGGTTTCGAACTTCTGACCTGAACTGACCTGCCCTCCTTGGCCTCCCAAAGTGCTGGGATTACAGGCGTGAGCCACCACACTCAGCTGTCAGAGGAGCTGTTTCTAACAAAGGACTGCCAAGGAGTTCTATCTTCCTGCCCACTCTTTCCAGAGCTCTTGGCTTCTGGGTGGTTCTAGATGTTGATGGTGGGATAGCATGGTATAGTGGCCTCCGAATGGATGTGTCTCGCTGGGCACCAGCTTCCCCTGTGAGCACAAGCGCTCCCCAAGGGAAAAACAGGGACAGAAGGGCTTGTCTGGGATGGAGGTTTGGAAGCTGTGTGACAGGTACCTGGCTTGTGGCAGCAGGAGCTCACCAGGTAATTATTATTATGATTATTTTCATCTTCTTTATGGCTGACATCAGCCTAACACATACGTCTATAGCCACATGACTTGAAGAATACCAGGGTTTAAAGAGATCTGTGCAGGCCAGGCGCGGTGGCTCACACCTATAATCCTAGCACTTTGGGAGGCCGAGGTGGGCAGATCACTTGAGGTCAGGAGTTCGAGACCAGCCTGGCCAACATGGTGAAACCCTGTCTCTACTAAAAATTTAAAAATTAGCCAGGTGTGGTGGTGCACGCCTGTAACACCAGCTACTCGTGAGGCTGAGGCAGGAGAATCACTTGAATCCAGGAGGCAGAGGTTGCAGCGAGCTGAGATCGTGCCACTAGACTCCAGCCTGGGCGACAGAGCAAGACTCTGTCTCAAAAAATAAAAATAAATAAATAAATAAATACAATTAAAGAGATCTGCGCAATATGAATCCCCAGGGCCTGAACCCAGCCCCATCTCTATAGTGATTTATAACAATTAGTTTGGGGCCCAGTTGGAATGGGCTGCCTCGCAAAACGTTGCAGGTGGGAGGCCGAGGTGGACGGATCACTTGAGGATAGAAGTTCGAGACCAGCCTGGGCAACATGGTGAAACCCTGTCTCTACCAAAAATATAAAAATTAAGCCAGGCGCGCTCCTGTAATCCCAGCTACCGGGGAGGCTAAGGCAGGGAATTGTTTGAACCCAGGAGGCGGAGGTTGCAGTGAGCCGAGATCGTGCCGCTGCACCCCAGCCTGGGTGACAGAGCGAGACTCCATCTCAAATAATAATAATAATAATAATGTTGCAGGTGGTGCTCAGGCAGAAACCCTGCCATATCACCAATCATCAATGGCCAACCCCACCCAGAAATCCAGAGGGCAGAGCAGCTGGTTCCCTTTGGGAGGGTGAAATCCCAGTGAGTAGGAATACTTAGAATCATTTAGAGCCATCATCTTCTACTTGCTGACTCTGGGCTTCCCACAGCTCTTCTGATTTTGCTTCTATCTCAACGTTTCCCCCGCGTCTTTTCTTCCAGACTAAACATCATGAATTCTTTCTGCATTTGCTGTCTGCTGTTTGCATATTCTCCGATGGTGAATATCTTTTTGTTCTTTCTGTCGGGACTTGCTTGTAAAGGGACTTGCTAGCCAGCTCCTGAGGCTGGGGATGGGCTGCCAGCTGCTGGCTTTGTGTAAAGATGAAGGATTGCAGGACTTCTGTGAGGCACAAGGAGAAAGAGGAGACAGCAGCCATCAATTCTCGGTTATATATAACTGTCCACCCGCAGCGGAACCAGCCCTGCCAGGGCCCAGGCAGCTTTGCTCGCTTTTTCTAGGGCCCCACTCCAGAGGGTGGGGCTAGAGAGAAGGGGAAACGGGGCTCTAGGTCCCTCTGCTCAGCAGGGCTGAATGCTTAGCTTCTCAGAACAGAATTCTCCACCTTGCTACTTACATCTTGTTCTTTGAATTTATCCCACCTCTTCAGCTTGGAGAGGGGCAAGAGGGAGAAGTTAGGTTGAACAGAACTGAGTTGAAGCACACTCATTGGCTGTGTGACTTTGGGGAAGACACTTAACCTCTCTGAGCTGATTTTTTCCATCTGTTAAATAAGCTTAAATATTTCTCTTTCATGGGAGTATTGTAAGGATTAAATGGGTTATGTGTGTATCTGTATACGTGTATATGTGTGTATATACACAGTTGGTTCTTCTTATTTGAAGTCATCATGTTTTCTTCTTCCTTTTTTTTTTTTTTTTTTTTTGAGACAGAGTCTTGCTCTATCACCCAGGCTAGAGTGCAGTGGCGCGATCTTGGCTCACTGCAAGCTCTGCCTCCCGGGTTCATGCCATTCTCCTGCCTCAGCCCCCTGAGGAGCTGGGACTACAGGCGCCTGCCACCATGCCCAGCTAATTTTTTTTGTATTTTTTAGTAGACACAGGGTTTCACTGTGTTAGCCAGGATGGTCGCGATCTCCTGACCTCGTGATCCACCTGCCTTGGCCTCCCAAAGTGCTGGGATTACAGGCATGAGCCACCACGCCTGGCCAAAATCATCATGTTTTATAAAGTCATCTCGAACACTGAATTATGAAATATTATACTTGTTTCCCTAGTAAAAACATAGGGCTAGGTTCTTTGAGCCTCTGGTCACATTTTTATCTATCAATACACAGCCTTGTTTTATGTATGTTACTGTTTAAAAATACCTTATTTAGTATATATCGTTGTTTCATTAACATTGAACTTCCCTACAGCACTATAACTCATGCCTGGTTAAAATTTTTTTTCTCACAATAGAGCGAGACTCCGTCTCAAAAATAAATAAATAAATAAATAAATAAATAAATAAATAAATATAAACAAAAAAAATTTAATGAAAATATGTGCATCCAGGTATGTTTCTACTTCTGAGGGTTATGTAGTCTTCACTTTTTTTTTTTTTTTTTTTTTGAGATGGAGTTTCGCTCTTGTTACCCAGGCTGGAGTGCAGTGGTGCGATCTCAGCTCACCACAACCTCCACCTCCCGGGTTCAAGCAATTCTCTTGCCTCAGCCTCCCGAACAGCTGGGATTACAGGTGTGTGCTACCACGCTTGGCTAGTTTTGTATTTTTAGTAGGGACAAGGTTTCTCCATGTTGGTCTGGCTGGTCTCAAACTCCCAACCTCAGGTGATCCACCTGCCTTGGCCTCCCAAAGTGCTGGGATTACAGGTGTGAGCCACCACGCCCAGCCTAATAGTCTTCATTTTTTTTTTTTTTTTTTTTGAGATGGAGTCTCGCTCTGTCGCCCAGGCTGGAGTGCAGTGGCCGGATCTCAGCTCACTGCAAGCTCCGCCTCCCGGGTTTACGCCATTCTCCTGCCTCAGCCTCCCGAGTAGCTGGGACTACAGGCGCCTGCCACCTCGCCCAGCTAGTTTTTTTTGTATTTTTTTTAAGTAGAGACGGGGTTTCACCGGGTTAGCCAGGATGGTCTCGATCTCCTGACCTTGTGATCCGCCCGTCTCGGCCTCCCAAAGTGCTGGGATTACAGGCTTGAGCCACCGCGCCCGGCCATAGTCTTCATTTTTAAATTAATTTTTTTTTGAGAGCATGTCTGGCTCTGTTGCCCAGGCTGGAGTGCAGTGGCACGATCTCGGCTCACTGCAACCTCTGTCTCCTGGGCTAAAATGATTCTCCTGCCTCAGCCTCCCTAGTAGCTGGGATTACAAGTGCACACCACCACACCTGGCTAATTTTTGTTTTTTTGTTTTTTTTTTTAGTAGAGACGGGGTTTCACCATGTTGGGCAGGCTGGTCTTGAACTTCTGACCTCAAGTGATCCGTCTGCCTCAACCTCCCAAAATGTGATTACACACATTTGCGCCACCATGCCTGGCCAATGTAGTCATTTATCCTAGTTGATTAAAACTGAACCAGGGAGGTACCAGTCAGTGGCTTCATTATCATCAACTTGGTGACTAAGGTCAAGCTTTTAGAATCTTCTAGAATAAATAATGTCTTACACCTCTAATCATATACACAGGTTTAAAAAAAAAAATCTTTAACATAGGCTGGGCACGGTGGCTCATGCCTGTAATCCCAGCACTTGGGGAATCCGAGGCAGGGGGATCACCTGAGGTCTGGAGTTTGAAGCCAGCCTGACCAACCTGGAGAAACCCCATCTCAAAAACACAAAAATTAGGCCAGGCGCTGTGGCTCATGCCTATAATCCCAGCACTTTGGGAGGCTGAGGCGGGAGGATCACGAGGTCAGGAGATCGAGACCATCCTGGCTAATACGGTGAAACCCCGTCTCTACTAAAAATACAAAAAATTAGCCGGGCGTGGTGGCGGGCGCCTGTAGTCCCAGCTACTCAGGAGGCTGAGGCAGGAGAATGGCGTGAACCCAGGAGGCGGCGCTTGCAGTGAGCCGAGATCACGCTACTGCACTCCAGCCTGGGCGACAGAGTGAGACTCTATCCCCAAAAAAAAAAAAAAAATTAGCCAGGTGTGGTGGTGCATGCCTGTAATACCAGGTATTTGGGAGGCTGAGGCAGGAGAACCACTTGAACCCGGAATGCGGAAGTTGCAGTGAACTGAGATCACACCATTGCACTCCAGCCTGGGCAACAAGAGCAAAATTCCATCTGAAAAAAAAAATCTATAACATGTAGTTTCCTATAACAAACATTCCTAGGTTGTAAGTCACAGTCCTTACATCATCTATCATAACAAATTTTTACTATTATAAGAAGGAGGTTCCTCTCTTGGTGAACAGACAACATACAGAATAAACTTAAATTTAACATAAATATGAAATGGTAACTGGAATGCACAGACTTGCTGATCTCCACAAAAGCAAACTGTTCACTGAGTCCTTTGCATTCTCAAAATCAGAGTAT